ACAAAACAAAAAAATATATTTTACATAGATAAAGCACTTCGGAATGTGTGGGCTGTACTCGTGAGAACATTTTTTTTAATTTTTTCAAGGCATGGACTTCCAAGAATCCCTTCAATGCGTCTATTGGAACCTTTTCCAACCAATCCGAGGGCTCCAACTACAACAAAGATTGTTGATGTCCCCATGTGCCACATTTCGATTTCAAGGTCCTTGTATTTTGATAGCTTTTTGAAAATACATTACATTCCGCAGGGACTTCCATATCAATAAGTATGCAATTATTATTATTATTATTATTATTATTATTATTATTATTATTATTCAGTTTGTTTCCTTTATGACGAACTTTGTTGAATCAAGGAAGTGTTTTCATCTTTTAAACTTGGGCTTACTGTAAGAGCGTGATAGATTTATCTGGTGGATTATGTGAAGATAGCAAAAGAGTGCGAACTGCTGGATTTTTTTTTTCATTTTTATGTTTCCAAGGATTTTGTTTTCTTTCTTGACCAGATCGACAGGCCGGACCTATTACCACGGGTACTTTTGTAGCTTTCATATCTTATATTCTCTCAATTTCTATTTCTTGATCTTTATATTTGCAGAGATTATATTCATTGTCATCATCATCAGCATCATCATCCTCAACAGCAGCAGCATATTCTTCTTCTTTTCCTTCTTCTTCTTCTTCTTCTTCTTATTATTATTATTATTATTATGTTATTTCCTTTGATTTCTGGTGTGTACACATTTCGTTCCGGGTCCCACCCAGAGACCTAAGGTTAGAAATGGCATCATGACATTTTCGACAGACCAATTATACAAAAAAAATTACATAGATAAAGCCCTTCGTAAGGTGTGGGCTGTACTCGCGAGAACAGATTTTTATTTCTTTAAGGCATGGGCTTCCAGGAATCCTTTCAATTAGTCTACTGGAATCTTTTCCAACCAATCCGGGGCTCCAACTACAACAGGGATAGTTGATGTTCCCATGTGACACATCTTTGAGATTTGGATTTCAAGTTCCTTGTATTTTGATAGATTTTTTTGAAGATCTTCAAAGATACATTAAAATCCGCAGGGACTGCCATATCAATAAGGAGACACTTTTTTTGTTTGCGGTTTCTAATAACGATGTCTGGGCGATTAGATTTGATTGTTCTGTCTGTGTGTATTGTGTAGTCCCATAAAATTGTAAGAGGTCCTATCTCTGTAACCGGGTCTGGGTGGTGTTCATACCAATTTATTTCAGTTTCCTTCCCGTAGAAGATGCAGATTTTCCAGCGCAGATATTGGTCAAATCTGTCATGCTGGATTTTATATTCAGTGGGTGCCAATACCGTGCTACCTGATACAATATGATCAAATGTTTCTGGGTAATCATCACAGAAACTGCATTTTGGTCAAACACAATATTTTATTATTATTATTGTCATTATTATTATTATTATTATTATTATTATTATTATTTAGGGAGAGATCTGTACGCTAACAATATAACACTGAAATACAAATATACGAAGTCCAGTATACCCATCGTAACACACGCTTAGATAAGTGTATGCCAGACACATGCATCACAAACAAATGTGCGAGATATGGTGACAGCTTTTGATAAAATGCAACGTGTAAACTTACATTTGGAGTCTCACTTGAAATACCTACAGGTCGAGTAACAAAGAGATCTCAACCGTTTTTCGATTGAGGGTGTCACCAATTATCTAGATGTGATTCCGAAGTCGTATCGACTTGCCTCATTGTCCTGCCTTAATAAAAACAAGCACTTTCGACACCTGGCCAGGGTGTGCTCGCCAACTACTTTCGCTCATTTACCAAAGATTCATAATGTTCCTTGGGTGCATACAAAACTGGTTATAGTCCCACAACTGAACTGAAATAAACTACATCCGCGTCCTGGGTAAGACGATAAACTACTATATTACCAGTAATTCTTTTTGAAAAAAAAATTATTACCAACAATACATTTTTGAAGGAAAAATATTACCGGAAATAGATTTTTGACAAAACAAAATATTACCAGCAATAAAATTTTTTCGGCATTAAATAACCCATTGAGGTTGATATGACGTAAACCAAAATAAATCAAATCAAACTAAACTCATATATTTTTGACGATTCGCTTGAACAGAAATCCTTTCAGATTAATAAACTTTCTTTTGCAATCAACGATGTCTTAATTTTTCTTTGAATATTTGCTTGTATGGTCAAACGATTATAACTGCGCGTTTCAGTTCTTTTCTCGCCAGTCATTGTATAAGCGTAGAAGTTGTGTACGCTCTTTACTTATGTATATTCAAATGTCACTTGTGAGTTGTGGATATATTTCATTCGTAACAACATAATGTTTTAAAAGGACTTCGCCTAGACACATCTAAACACACACTAGTGACCTTGCTCAACTTCCGACCTTGGTCATCAAGCAGACCGAAAGAGCACAAGATGATATTTCAACTGTGTTGAATAAGCGGACATTTCTAAGTCGGACAGCTAACATTCCTAATAACAACAATAAGAAAAATAGACCAAAATGATACCGGAAATGAACAATATGTTACGAGGGAAGGCAGCTACAACATAGGAGCAAAGTAAAGACCGTAAAACAGAAACAGCGTTCATATTGCAAACGGGATACAGTCAACCTTCTGAAATCAAAACAAGCAAGAAAAAATATTTGGTTAACTCACAGAATAGTCCATTTTTTATTGACTAAGAAGAAATTCCAAAATGCATCTATACGATTTGTCTTTAAATTTGGGGGAGGGGGATCTTTAGGATTTATTCCCCAGGTTGGAGCCAAGAAGATGTAGCGAAAGTGGTTTTCATTTAACTGTCCCACATAAACTCAGATCTCTTGCACAATGCCCGGTGAGTGGTATCGGCCACTTTTTTTTTTTACTTTCTAAAAAGAAGTTTAAAGAGCAGTTTGTTATTTTTTTACTAAGTTTCATATGGCAAGTTCACAAGTTGCGTACATTACCTGGTTTTCGTAAACAGTTGCCCAGAAATGTAAAGAGTTTAGGTATATATTTGTAAGCCCGAATCAACTTGGTGAAAAGGAGACATTTTGGCGGCAAGCTCATGAAAAACAAACCTACTAACAATGGGTAGTGAGAGCTGTGTGCTAAACATCACTGAGCAGCGTGTTAATTTCCAATTCATGTGTGTATTAGTAGCAATATGAAAACACGCTGTAATAGATAGAATGATCGATTGCGTCATAGATAGATAGATAGATAGATAGATAGGAATAGACGGAAATAGGCAAATAATAAACAGGCTGCGATAGCTAGCAAGCTAGCTAGCTAGATAGATGGGAAGAAACGGAAAAGGCAAATAATAAACAGGCTGAGATAGATAGATAGATAGATAGATAGATAGATAGATAGATAGATAGATAGGAATAGACGGATATAGGCAAATAATAAACAGGCTGCGATAGCTAGCAAGCTAGCTAGCTAGCTAGATAGATAGATAGATGGGAAGAAACGGAAAAAAGGTAAATAATAAATAGGCTGCGATAGATAGATAGATAGATAGATAGATAGATAGATAGATACTGCAAATTAGATGAGGCATAAATATAAAAAATAAAAAATTTCGTAGATTGGCAGAACATACCAGAGAGGTAAGCAGAGAAATCTTCGGAGGATGGGAAATGGAACGAGAGTATGAAGATAACCCGTAGATGATATCTCTGCCGTTGACATAGATGGTGTTATGGTAGTAATGATGGAGGTTCTGTCAACGTTAGTAAGCAGTTTTTTTTTATTGGCAGAACTGTGATTTTAACGAATGTGTGATCATGATCGAAATGTCAGTGGTGAAATACTTGTTTACTCATTTATATGATCTTAAAGAAAGAACGAAAGTACTTGTTTCATTTATTTTACATGAAACAGGATAAGATATAGACAAACATTTGAATAGAATAGAAGCATTTTCAGATTAGTTTAATGCGAAACAGCCAGGAGAATCATTGGAGAATATTTGTAGATATTAAGAAAGCATTGTATCAAGACATGATGCCAACTCATCATATTTGCCTTGTGATCTGCGAGATTAAATTGCTAACCAGCGCATTCCACTAGGAGACCATCTATCGTAGCTCAGGATTTAATACTAGACGACGTCCGAAGAGGCAGCGTGCCGTAATGGGTAGCGGCTCGGATTGAGGAATCGGCGAGCCGAGTTCGAATTCCAGTCAAATCTGTTACATTCATTTACGTGCTAATACCCTTGGGAAACGTATAATTCATCACTCACAAGACTGAATAATCGATTTTGAACACTACCAAGGCTGGGCAGCATCTATCTATCTATCTATCTATCTATCACAGTCTATTAAGAATGTATCTATCTATCTATCTATCTGCGCACTTACGTATATACGTACTTATGGAAGATATTTCTCAATTTTCATAAATGATGTCTTAAAACTGAAATCGCAGGCTTCAAAGTTAACTATCGTATTGTTGATAAGCCTACCCATAATGAAAATATCGTGTCTTGATGTATCCACGGAATTTTAACCAGATAGATTCACCTATCGTCCGGTTTACACTCCTCCCCGGTCTTTTGAACAAGAGTAAAGGCGTATCCCTAGTTTCCTGTTTAGGAATGGGTTTCTGGTTCCTTCTGAATTCTACTTCAACTCTATACCTCTAACGTCTTTGCCTAAACTGTGAGATTTGTACTAATTATTTATTTTGGTTCCTCAATGGGAGTAGATAGGTTTGTCTAATGACCGGTTCACACAACGCTCTGGTCCTTTGAACAGGGGTAGAGGTTTGTTTTTTATTACTGATCAGGACTGGTTTTCCAGTTGCTTCTAAAGTATTTTGCATCTCTTTCACTTCCAGTAGCCCCTTTCGTCTTAGTGGCATTATCGCCTTGATTGGAGTAAATTGATTAAAAAAACAATATTATTGTATGTGCATTGGAAATCGGTGTTTTCTCAAATTCGTGTCTTTGTAGAAAGGTGTTTAGATAGATAGATAGATAGATAGATAGATAGATAGTGTTCTTAAACACACAATATTTTCTAACACTCAGTAACCCCTTGTGTTTTCATGGCTTTGTTGCTAGGGGTGAAATGATTAAAATATTAAAATAAATATTATAGATAGCAAGAAAGAAAGCAAGAAAGAAAGAAAGGAATAAAGAAAATTAGAGTGAAGGTCAAAAAGAAAAATGAAAGGAAGTATTAGATACATATATCGATGTGTGTGTGTGTGTGTATATATATATATCAGAAAACAGTTTAAGATAGATAGATAGATAGATAGATAGATAGATAGATAGATAGATTTACTTACTATCTGGTGAATTTAAATCCTATGAAATGCGATAAGTGATTGTTAGTATGGTAAACATGTCTAACAAATAAACTGAAGAAGAAAAAAACAGCAGAAAGAGCGACGAAGATTTAGGTCGACGTCTTGTCGACAGGGAAAGATGGAGAGAGAAAATGAACTCGCATACTATTTAAATATGTGTAAAACTGAATGGAGAGTACAGAAAACCCAAAGGCAAACAGATTCTTAGATCAAGCGATTTACTGTACAGTAATAAAAATCAGGCGGATCGTAAAGAAGACGACTGACTGAGAAGCTGATATATGTACACCTATCGGAAAATTTGTCAGGAGATAAGCGAGTTGAGAGACGGAGAAAGCAACTGGCAAAAAAAAAAAAAAAAAAAAAAAGATAAAAAGGAAAGAGAGAAGTATGGAATAATGGAGAGGCTAGAATACGGAAAAATGTGGCTTGTCTGCCAATTTCGTATACAAGTCGATTTTATCGTTCCTAGTTTTCACATTGATCACTTCATGCCAATCTTGAAAAACATAATAATAACTTGGCAATCACTTACAGTGAACCGATTATTACAGCAACACACACACACACACACACATATATATATATATATATATATATATATATATATATATATATATATATGTTGCTGTATATATATATATATAGATATACACTAATAATAATATTACTCATTTGAACTAAGGTATCTCAACTTGTAGATATGTCAAAACAAATCGGTTCCCGAGGAAAAAATTGGAAATAAAAAAAGAAAGAACTAAAAACTGAAGATCTGTTTAGGTGAAAACTAGGTAGGTTTTCCTGGTTCTTTAGGATTTATTTATATATATATATATATATATATATATATATATATATATATATATATATATATATATCTGAGTGTGTATAAATTGAACAACCCAGTGTGTCTGAAGATTTTACTTTTTAATATTTAATATTTTTATTGTTCAATATATATATATATATATATATATATAATAAAAGGCTTAAACACTAATATAACATAATATATTGTATATATTTACCATTAATACTATATATATATATATATATATATATATATATATATATATATATATATATATATATATATATATATTTGGGCAGCAAACTTTCTTTTAAACATGTTTTGTTAAATTTGACAGACAAGGAAAATTTAATAATTTTTATTTAGTTTTTCCACCATTCTTACATTTTTACGTATGGTCGGGGCAAGGGACTGCTAAATTTGCCAGTATTGGCCCTTGTGCCAAGCGCTTTCGGCTACTTTTTTAGCCATTTTCAAGGGTGGGAGTGTTTTAGGTGGTCATTTCTCTTCATGTTTGACCGCTTAAGATGCTGAATTCCAGCCGCGCAACACGCAAACGTCGGAATAAAAGCACTTAGCAGCATTGAAAACAACACAAATGTACATCTTATACCAACTCCAGCCAAACAGAAAAATGTAAATTTTCTTCTTGTCTATCATGTTCAACGAGACACATGTGTTTGTAATGCCATGTCCTTTCAACACTTAGGTGTTAGGTGAATCTGTGTTGAGATAGGCTCCATTCTTTCTTTAGTACCACCTGTTCAATATACAGTTAGAACACGCCATGGAACTTCAACGAAGTTGAATCAGCCTCATTTCTTTCGAATTCTCTATGTAAAGAAAGAGAGAGAGAGAGAGAGAGAGAGAGAAAGATAAAGAAAGGGTGAGTGTGTGAGTGAGAAAGTGAGTGAGCGTATGAGAGAGTGAGTGTGTGTGTGTGTGAGAGAGAGAGAGTGAGAGAGAGAGAGATAGAGTGGGAGTGCCAGTGTGTGAGAGAGTGTGTATGTGTTTGTATGTCTGTGTGTGTATGTGTATGTAATGCGTGTGTCTCTGCGATGTGTTTGTGTGTGTGTGTGTGAGAGAGAGAGAAAGATGAAGAGAGCCAGGGTGTGTGTGTGTGTGTGTGTGTGTGAGAGAGAGAGAGAGAGAGAGAGAGAGAGAGAGAGAGAGAGAGATGTTATGTGGCCTTTTTTGGAGTGGACTGTAATGAACAGTTCCCGGCATAAAATATTTTCTATTTGATTCACAGGAACGTATTTATATCAAATTGATACTATCAAAATTTTCCACAGTGTTCCATTCACAAATATTACCTTATCTTTTCAAGAGTTAGATCAGACCCAAAATAGAGTATTGCTGCCATATCTAAAACGAAACTTCTAAGTTCTCATGTTCCAGCCTTGACAGAGTTCAAATACGTTTAGGCCGCCTCGTTGAAGTATGACTTCTTTTCCACCCGCTAGACACCTACTCACAGTAGCGCGATGCAGGCCTATCACTGTTTCCATATCAAATATTCTAACAAACATTTTTCTTTGGTCCTACTAGTTCTGACCTTTAAAACACGGCATGCTACGTCCACCCTAATTCAATTCGTATTACAATCTGCAAAGTTATCGGTCTTGACCTAGTACGAATTTTAGCGCTGTACTAGTTTGGCAGTTAGGTCTCATAATTTTACACTAGAAATTGTTAGTTTCTTCTCCAAAACATTTTGCTAGTGGAACTCTTTTCCGGGTTCCTAATATATATTTTATTACCCTCTATGTTTCTTTCACTCCCCGTTACCCCTTATATCCTAGTGGTCTTTATTGCCTTCTCTGGGGTGGTATTTAAAAAAAATCATTTGTTGGAAGGGAATACCACTCAGACAATTTCTGCCTAGGTATCGTTGCTTTCTGGAACATGCTCCCGCGTGGATGTTTCTTTGAACACTACAGCCTTAACAACTTCATTTCTATCTATCCAACTTATCCTCATAATCTTCACTTTCTACTGCCTCCTCTTAAGTTCATACATTACGTTACACTTTTCCTTGAGTATCTCTTGTTCCTTGTATTTGTGTATTAAAAAAATTCAATTTCGGCTAGATTCAGCAAATCGAGCACTAATGGCGTTACTAATTTGCTGATGACTCCGGTATTCGGTCGAACAGAAATGGCAGTAGGTGATAAACCAGTAAGAATGAAAGAAGTCTTATTGCAACGATACAATATAAAAACTTTCTGGCGATATATTTTTGTCATCTGGTTTCATATGAATAAAGAAATTCTGATTGATTCATTGAATGATTCCTTTTCTACGTCGTATCAACCCTTAGCAGGTTATTTAAAGCCAGACAATATATTTATATTGTAAGATTTATTTATTTATTTTTTGTTTAGATAATAATGATTTAGTAATACATGTCTTACTAATTAACCCATAGCTTAGCGGAGGTGAATTCGTACCTTTCCCAAAAAGTATTTGCGTGTAAATAAATATAAACACAGGATGCGATGTATAAATTGTCGTCTCAATGAAAATATCACTGACATCTCATTTTAACAGATATACAGGATGCGATGGATAAATTGTCGTCTCAATGAAAATATCACTGACATCTCATTTTAACAGATATATTTAGAAAAATTACACAAAAATATCAAGAAATACAAAACAGTAAAATTATTCAATAAAATCACAATTGTCTTCAATCGCTGCATCGAGACGACTTCAGAATCACTTGCAACTCCTCTGGGCTTTCCCCTTGATTAAGTTGGTGAATGCTGCCATAATCCTTGCCTTTGTTCATCTTTGCTGTTACAAGGAGATTTTTTTTGACTCTCGATCATCTGTGCACTACATATAATAATCAATGAGGTTGCAGTCTGGGTAGACAGATGTCCAGATGTAAGGGGTGATTTGGTCGCAGAAATTCTCTGCCATTCATAACTGGGTTCTCCTGCTTCTGTGGTATGGTGCAGATTTCTGTTGCCAGATATAGTGTTTTCCTCAAGGTACTTGATGTAGGCCTCCGTGTTGAGTTTGGAGCCCAAACCAAAAACTTCGTGAGTTCTTTTCTCATCAGAACGATCAGAATGAGTTTTCCGAGCTGCCGTATTTTCGTAATCCCCGTTAGACTGATCCAGCTCTTTCCGAATCCTCTACACTGTCCTCAGATTGACACCAAACACCCAAACACTCTAAAATGTTCTTATTGGAACTTCCGGTGCGAATGCCAAGCAGTACAGTATGCCGTTTCCAAATTTCTGAATTGCGTCATGGTGTTCTTTTTTCTCACAGATGGTGTCCAGCTGACCCTTTTATACTGTGCACTCGATGAAATCAAAAATAAACAAAACGCATGCGCAAAATTCAAAATATAAAATGGCGACAATTTAGACATTGCACACTGTAATCTAACTGGAATTGGTACTCGGCTCAACGATTAGCAATTCCAAGACTTTATCTCCTACACAACCCGCAAATCCAATCTTACAGCAACTGAAAACTGTATCTCAATGATATACTTTCTACATCAGGAGAGAAGTCATAAAAATCCGTTTTACTCAAGAATGAATGTTAGGCGTTGTGGAAATGAGCGAATCTTTTTTGAAATGGAAGTTAATGAAAAATGGAGACGTGGAAGTTATCGAAGTTTTTAGAGAAGGTGGCATTTAGAAGTTCGCTTAGAATGAGAGAAATCGGAGTTATCCAGAAGTTTAGAGAAATGCAATTTATCGAAGTTTGTGGAAAAAGTAACATTTATCGAAGTCTATGGCCTGCATCAAGAGAGAAATGATAAAAAATCTGGTTTTGTCAAGCTATGGCATTTCTACGTGTTGAGGCAGCAAGGAAGTGTTGACAACACAATATGCCGCTTCCTAAATCAAGTAGTAAACATCTGAGACCTATTACTCGGCTCCCTTTAGATATCAACGACTTTTTTCTCCGACGAAAACCGCGTTACCTTCGAAGGGACAGATGGATGAAACAAAATCTATATAGTAACTGGCAGAAACAGCTCTCACGGACTGAGATATCAGCAAGAAAGATGAGTGATGAAGTAGTGTGGCTATGCCAAGTTTCAGATAGTGATCAGACAGACATTGATGGTTTGAAAGCACCCGTGGTGCCATATTTCAAGAAGAATCCAAACACTTTCAGAAAGGTATTTTTTCTATTGCGTGGCAATATTCCGTTTCATTCAGCTAAAAAAAACTAGTGAAATCCTATCGTTATGAAATAAGCTTCAGTGTCACTGTTTCCGTGTAGCAATCAGCTTCGTTATCCAATTGAAATTTGTAGAGCATTCTGAAGGTTACAATGATGCATGTCACTACAGCAGTAAGGATGAAACAGTTCACAAAATCAATGGATGAACATTATCTAAAATTATTTTCAGACCATTCAGTATACATTTTATATTAAGTTTATCTTTATAACTTTGCCGTTGTTACAATGATGCTGTTTTCAGTTCTTGCTTGAAAGGTTCATAAACTTTCTGAACGTTTTGTAATTATATCTTTTACATAATGTTTCTGGAATTACAAGAAATCATGTCATAACAGGAAACTTGGAATATCCATTAATACCTTACGGGCAAATAGCCTTAGTAAATGTATGAATTCGTCTCTTCTCCATCCAGCTTTGGGTTAAATAGCACGACAGGCTCGGATCTCTGTCACCGCTATAATCAAAAGATATGTCAGTCATGTGACTTCAGTTGTAGAACTATTGGACATTCACACATCGAAGACGATGGATGAATCTATCATACACATATATATTTATATAAAAATGTCTACTCCTAAAGTAATATGTCAAATTTTGTCTCTAATGTCAGACAAGGATATTGACGGTATTGCTGTAGAGTATAAACCTTCCCACGTATCACCCATAATTTTTCTTTGTCATGCTCAGGAATGGACTAGGAAATTCTTGTGAAAAGAAAGTTTATACGATGTAGAGATGTGTCAGTGACGTCTTCACGAGAAGAGAGTGCAACTATTTAAGTTCACCGATGATTGTTGGAAGTTTGCAGAATGCAAACAAGGGACGTGAGTACAGTTAGGTGGTGGGTGATGAGTGTCAGAGATGTGCGCGACAAACCACTTTCAGCCTGTTGAAAGATGGCATGCGCGAACAACATTATCTTGATACCATTTTCTCTGCTGCGCACCCCACCAAAAACAACCCCCCCAAAAAAAACAGTGTTTTACGGCTGAAAACTTGCTCTATCTGTAGGTGCTCTTATGCTCCTTGTATCATTTGGAGTATATACGTAAACAAGTAGAAGGGATAAGTTAAGAGGCGTCTATTGGGGAGGGGGTATTTGCGTCTGTGCAGCTGTCAGTAAGTATCATTAATATTCTTATAGTTTTTCTTGGACTAAAATATTGTTTTTCATAGATTGATTCGTTTTTTTACAGATTATCAACCCTTTGCAGACTATAAAGCCAGAAAATAGGTTTAGTCGGTAATAATCTTTTTTCGAGATAATAATGATTTAGTGATGCAAGTCTTACTAATTAACCCATAGCAGGGAGGGGAAGAGGTGGATTCATGCCTTTCCCAAGAGTATTTGCTCGTAAGTGAATATAATAAACCAAATGGAATTGGAACTCGGCTCTCCTACTATCCATTACACCACCCGCACACCCATGCTTACAGCACCTGATATTCTCAGTCAGCCTCCCATCAAGGTACTGACCAGGCTCGACATTGCATAAGTTCGGTGATCGTACGGGATATGATGCTTCAACTTGATACGCCGTAAGCCCTTGGACTAAAAATGACACACTATTCAAACGTGAGTTCTTCCAGACCCCATCAGAGAAGATGAGAATAAAAGTATGCTTAAACTAAAAGAAAAGAGATTTGCTTATTCCTCTCGAAACAGATAAAAGTGTTGAACCAAATATATAGATCCAAAGCATTAAAATCCTTGAAAGAAATTCTTATTAATCGACATCACCTCCTATCCCATCCCCGACAAAGACGTGCACATGTCAAACATCAAGTAAAAGCATAACAGTGTCCAGGGAAGGATCGTCCGGCTTTCTGGTCGGTCGGTGGATACTGTTCAGGTTTTGCTTGTTAAGAAACAGCTGGCAAGTTTATCGCTTTTTCTACGTTTTTTTTTTTTTTTTTGTTAAGCATTTTTTAAAACCTTTTTCCTTTTTAAAGATACGAATACTTGAGTAAACTCCTAAATTGTTTTCATCTAACCAATATTGTAATCTTAAAAAAAAAAAAAAATCATTTGCTCTGAAGCAATGTTTTGAGTTTTACCAAATCTCCACGCGTTAAGATGCTTCACTCTGGTTTGGTTCATTTATATTTTTAAAACGGAGAATCTTTCAGCATCGCCACGTGGGTGGTGTTTTATGTAACCTACAATGAAATCTCTCTGATCAACAAACGGTGTATTGTTTGTTAGGATGCGTCTTATTTAAGGTTTATTATGGATATCACAAACGATGAAGAGAACCAGCAGCAAATAGTTCACTATTTACCCATGAATTCAAGTTCTTTTCATAAATAAAATAATTGCTAAGGATTATGAAGACAAGCAAAAACTTATAGGAAATTACCAAAACAAATCTGAATATATAGTTTTGAATATTTAAAGTGTTCTATTGAATATCAACGTTTGGAGTATTTGCTGAATTTGTCTGTGAAGACAAAAGAATATCAACATTAGCCATCAAAGAAGAAATATTATTTTTCTCCTTTGATGTTTCTACTCCAGTAGCCTTTCTTAAATCACGCATTAAAATTTGTTATCGTAAAATATTTTTTTTATTATACAGGGTGTTCCGAAAGTCTTGTCCCTCTACATAATAAAATTTTCTATTTCAGATGGCTGACATGAGCTCCTGCAATTTGCAAAAAAATGGTGATGGTAACAGTACTCTCGGACCACCCTGTAAATTTTGCGTTTAGATAGATAGATAGATAGATAGATAGATAGATAGATAGATATATACATAAGAAAGAGACTGACATAGATAGATAGATAGATAGATAGATAGATAAATAGATAGATAGATAGATAGATAGATAGATAGATAGATAGATAGATAGATAAATAGAAACACCCAGTTGTTCCTATCAAATCATAAAATCACCGAGGACTGTTGATAGAGTTGGTATGACGTTTGCCTCATATCGTAACTGTCCGGTAGTGGACAAACACTTAGAGGCGACAGGTTGTTTCATTCTACACTCAGTCGCCGGGCAAAATTGTGTCTAGCATAAAAAAGCCTGTCGCCTTGACTTCAATGTTCACTTATATTTATATATATATTTTAAGACATTTTTATGTTTATGCATTCTTTTTATAGATAAAAATATTTAAGTAAGTGCTCTGTTTATAATAAACAGTATTAAACAACATTTACCGGCCTGAATGTCCGAGAAATTTCCACAGAAAATATTCGTCCTCCGACATTTCTCGGTTTCTCTCGATTTCTATCAACGGCAGTCATCAGAAATTCTGGCAAAGTCATACCAGTCCATTGTTTTGACATTGTCCAACCAGTTTTTCTTTGTGTGTTGGCGTCCTCTCCTACATCCACTTTCAAACATGCCTAGCATGATGGTCTTGCACAGGTTGTTTTGCCTTATAATGTGTCCGCTATTTTTCTCCGTTTGACAGTGGCGAAAAGAGGTTCCTAGTGTCCCACAAATCTTTCAACCTTTTTCCGCACAAACTCATTGGTATGTTTTCCTAATAAAAAATGACAACGATTTTCCCCATGCCTTTGTTCTCAAACGCTTGGATCCTTCTCTCTGTATTTGCCAATAGTGTCCACGTTTCACATCCATATAGCTACTTTTAAGCTACTACACAATAAATTCTTCTCTCCCAAGTCTCAGGTAAAGCAACACAAATGAGGCAAACACTATCAAAAACAGATAACTCGCGAATTAGTTTACAAAATGAGTTTTCTACCAAATGACGCACATATATTAGTATTGTGAGACCGGAAACTACCTACACAATAGACTCTTCCAGGCCTATATTAAGTAGGCGACATAGCACTCTAGAGAGTGACATAGAGAGACACAGAGACAGCCGCGTACGACTACCAGTATTGGACACTAACATATAGTAAGCTCCGCTTACACTATCTCTGTAACCTGTTGTTAATATATCTTTCTTACATCTAATCCGTGTTCCGTGTTTTCCTTCTGTGGTCCCAACATTGGCACCCACATCAATTAGGTACTATAATTTAAATGAAAAAATATTCTAAAATAAAAGTGCAGTATAGAAGATAACCCGTTATCAGAGTATCCATCAAATATTTGTTATATTCATTAGTCATATTCATTTACGTCATCATCAATACGGCAAAAGAAAATATGGACTATTTAAGTTTTAGTCGAGTTAATAAATTTTCTTTTATATGGGACTGATAACATTATTGTGCTGATCATAACTAGAGATGATTGAAAGTCAGTCAGTTATGTGCCATGCGTGATACACCCTTAAGCGATCATGTATCTTTTGATACATGACTGACGAGGCAGATTTTTTCCCGCGGTAGCTTGCCATTTCTTTCTGCTGTAGACCGGTTTCCATCCAAGGCTATAAAACTCGGTCTGTCCTGCTATTTACCTAAGCTGGGGGAGAAGAAGAGGATTCATACCGTTCTCAAGGGAATTAGCATGTAATGATTTCGACTGGAATTCGAACTCGGCTCTCTGATTCCTAAATCCGAGCTGCTATCCATTGAAAGTACTAGAACGAATACGTTATGAACATTGTACAGACTCTTCAAAATTGTAATCCGAATCTACGGCATATATCAACTGAGCACTGTTATGAGATAGGCTGATTCTATAAACAACAGCCACTTGCGCTAATGCAGAGCTCTTCAGTAAAATGAATTGGAACACTATGTCTGATTGGCGTTTGTTTACATTCGTAAAAACAATACGCTAGAAATAGCGGTTTCACTCTGCTGAGTAATGATGGCGTTGGGGAGAACGCATATTATTTACGAAATTTTCTCGATAACATATAAACAGAAAATATTTTAAATAATTGTAGGACTTAATCAATTTTATAATGTGTTGTTAATGTTTACGTTAAGTTACGTTTTGGAAGCAGATATGATCATTTGGGAAAGATCGTCGAACAGTAATTTTGACTTTGTCAACCAGATGCTTTCTCTGCAGCTAAGTGGTATAGCACGTCAGATCAATTGATGATTCCGTATAGGACTTAGCTTCGATTCCTGTCGGCGAACGCTTATTTCTTTCGTACGTTTTTTTATTTATTTTTTTTATTTTCAAGTAATGGAGTAAAATTTGTTTTCGTGTTTGCATTTTAAGATGAGATCTGATCGTTTATTTAGTAATTTGTGTTGCCAAGTATAGCTATTTTATCCTCCAGACAGAATTTATAGTTTATGGATTTATTGTTTTTGACTAACACACACACACACACACACACACACACACACACACACACACACACACACACACACACGTGTATAAACTGTGTTTTTATATTTTATTTATCTATTATTTATATACATTTGAGAATGCTGGGTCTGAAGTTATAATCGCTTTTGTTTATAGATGTTTGCTTTTTGTGTATGAGTATTGTGTCAAAGACCATAAGTCTGTTTGTACGATCAGATTTGGCTAGTAATTTGGTATTGTTTGTGATTACTTGTCTAATGCTGCTACGGTCCTTATGCTCTTTATTAATGTATTGTCCGATGGCACATTGGTCCGATCGGTTACAGGTGTGTCTCCGTGATTATGTGGTTGTGTTACATCCAATGTAAGACGTATTGTGTTTTTTATTAACACAGATACCGAGTGAGCAGATATACTCATACGCAATGTTAGTCTTATATAGGGGTTGGGAAACTTGGAATATATTATATGTAATAATTAAGTTGTTAGTTTTTTTTTTTAATTAGTAAATAATGTATCTGATATATTTATTTTTAAAGATTTGTTTTCTATATCTGTGTCTAATGAAGCTGAACATTATTTTTATATTTAGATGCATTTAAACTGATCAAATTTTATTTCAGAGAACAATAAAATTAATTTTTTTTATTTGATTAAAACCCTACTAACATGGAAGTACCGAAGAATCATTTGAGGCACATAGTGCTTTATGAGTTCAAGAAAGGAAACTCAGCAGCTGAAGCCGAAATATTCATTCAGTTTATGAAGAGGAATGTGGGAATGAAAGAACTTGCAGAAGATGGTTTGTAAAATTCAGAGGTAGAGATTTCCCCCTTGAAGATGAAGATCGAACCGGACGTCCAGTTCAGTTTGATGAAAAGCTTCTTGAAGCAGCCCTTGAAGAAAATCCTGCTTTGTCAGTTGAAGACTTGGCAGTGTTTCTCAGTTAAAACCATACAAGTATTCATCGTCATCTTCAACAACTTGGAAAACAACCTCAAATCACAAGTTGACATCTGCTCTTCTCTCCATTCTCGCCAGCTTTTTCACCTTTTTTAGATAGACTTGCGACTGGCGACGAAAAATGGATCTTTTATCGAAATGTTAAGCGTCGTAGACAGTGGCTTGGTAAAGGGGAAGAAGCCCAGCCACAGCCGAGAAGGGAACTTCATGGGCAAAAGGTTCTTCTTTCAATCTGGTGGGATCGTCAAGGAATAATCCACTTTGAATTCTTACCACCTAATGCAACAATTAATGCTCAAATATACTGTCAGCAATTAGAGCGTTTGAACCAAGCTTTGAGGAAAAAAAGACCTGCTCTCGTGAATCGAAAAGGGGTGATCTTTCATCAGGACAATGTGTGACCCCACACAGCAAGAATCACGTCACAAAAGATCGAAGAACTTGGTTGGGAGAAAATTCCTCACCCATCTTATTCTCCCGATCTTGCTCCTTCAGATTACCATTTGTTTCGTAGCTTACAGAATCATTTGGAAGAAACAGCTTTTGTAACACAGGAAGAGGTTAAAACTGACATTTGTGAGTTCTTCGAATCAAAGCCAAAAGAATTTTGCAGTAATGGAATTAGTAAGCTTGTTAATAGATGGAAGGAAGTCATAGATAATTAGGGAAAATACATTGTTGATTGAATCTGTAATTAAATGTAACATTTGGTCACTTGTTTTCTTTATTCAAAATTCGGACAGAACATATGGGATGACCTGATATATATATATATATATATATATTAGAGAGAGAGAGAAAAGCGAGACACAGGTAGGCTTGTGTATCTCTCTCTCTCTCTCCTCTCTCTCTCTCTATATATATATATATATGTGTGTGTGTGTGTGTGTGTGTGTGTGTGTGTGTGTGTGTGCGTGTGTGTGTGTGTGTGTGAGAGAGAGAGAGTGTGTGTGTATTACAATCTAAACTTATTTTCTGGCTTTCAAAAATAATCTGTAAAGTGTTGATAATTTGTAAAAAACGAAACTATTAAGAATAATTGTTTAGTTCAAGAAAGTTATAAGAATATTATTGATGTTTTCTAATAAATAGACAGACACAAACACACACACACGCTCGCACACACACACACATATCCGCTTCTGCAAATGGTATAAAAATGAAAGAAAGTTGGCCAAATGTACTGAAACCTTCATGTCCATATAGCTAAATTAATGTTAGAAAATATTTAATAAGTGCTTATTCCTTTTACGATGATTTAATGAAAGGGAAATGTTAGTCATCTATACAAGTCAAATAATGAATGAAGGTTGGAAGATAATAATAAATTTAATGCTTTATCAAGTTATTGTTATTGATTAGTGAAAATATTTCTGGTCCATTCAGGGCCAAGTATTAAACTCAGTCCAAGGAGTTCTTGACTTCAGGCCAAAAAATAGTGCAACTCAGTGCCAAAACTGGAGGACTATTTCAAAACTCTTCATTCCACTGGGAGCGACGGCGTAGTTTCCGTTTTAATTTTTGGATAGCTGCAGTCGGCTTACATAATTCAAATAAAAATGTAGAAATTAAATGCATAATTAATTTTTCCCGACAAATTACTACTCTTTATCATTTAATTTTTTTCTCAGGTCATATTACAATTTACCGTAGCTTCAGATCCAGTACCTTCCACCCCGTTAGCGAAATGTAATATGCATTTTAATTTCTGAATTTAATTATCCACATGTAAACGGTTTTAATGAAACAAAAACTATATTGGAACTATGAATTCTGGGACAAAAATATGGCATGAAACAAAATAAATATAAGAGTAAATTTTATTTCATTTTTTCAAAAATAAAGTAAATAGTGTTATACTGACTTCTTTTGTCATAAATACAATTTTTATGACTAAAGAAAAACATGAGTCTTAAAAATAAGTTGTTTAACAGCAAGGACAGAGTTAAAGTTTTGTATATCTCGCTTACGATATCTAAACATATCGAAGTAAATATATTGAATTCAATTATATGACATTAACTTTACGCAGTATCATTCTTAATAAATGATTTTCATTAATAGTGTAATACAAAAATATTACGTTTCATCTAATTTTGTTTTAAATGTTAAACTAAACTTAAATTTATCACGTTTTTAAATTTTATAAAGAAAAACACATAGTACAAGTACTCATAAAAATAAATTTCATCATCGATATATATGATATATATATATATGGCGTCACACATTATGAAATGGACAAAGTACGACAATTATTTTAATACATTTTTATACATTCTTTTTATAGATACAAATGCGTTCTCCAACAGGAATCGGACCTGTATGCTATACGGAACCGTCATAGAGCCTGGCGTGCCTTGACCGATTGGGCCACAGAGAAGCGTTCGGTTAGCAAGGTCGATTTTACTGTTTTTAATCACAATTATCCACGATTTTCTCTCATTCATTCATATCTGTTCAATACCTATCCAAATGTAAACAAATGAAGTCATACATTATGAAATGGAGCAAATCCGACAATTATTTTAAGACATTTTTTATGTTTATATCTTCTTTTTAAGACACGTCAGGCTATATGACGGTTCCGTATAGGATACAGGTTCGATTCCTGTCGGAGGACGCATGTTTTCTAGGAAAATTTCTTGGATATTCAGGCCGGTAAATGTTGTTAATACTTTTTATTCTTTGTTTTTGTTCTTATCTAATAGTAGCGTATTTCCTATTAGCACTAGAGGACGATGTTCAAGAATTCTGAATGCTGATTTTAAAACTCTATGTAATTGGCGGAGCAGAATCATCTTACTCCGATTTCACCTTTCTTTGGGTCTTCTAACTTGTTATTTTTAGTGTTCTTCGGACAAATGAGCCGATTCTTTGTATTACTTTTGATGATAAATATATGATTTGGAAAACGTTTATTTTGACACGTTTAACAGATGAATCGGCTTCACCAGAAAAATAATTTTATTTCAACAAAATTTACATTAGAGCTTCAATACAAGACGATGAACTTTACTAAATTTGCGAGAAAGAACGGGATTCCTGTTAAGCAGCCGAATGCGTCGTTTTAATTTAACTATATCATTTTTATCAATTAGACCTTAACAAACTTTAATTCTGTATATATTTATTTACAGCAAATACGTTCAAAGTTCTATCTGCTGATTTCTGTGTTTCGCGAGAGTATTTACATCCTTGTGAAAACCGCTTTAGTTTCCTTTCTTTCACCATGAATTCAGTTTTAAACCAACTAGAGTGACAGGATGCAATCAATTTCTATTTTTCCTCAGATTAGGTTATTTTCAGTCGTGTGCAGTAATATGAATCTATTATCGGGGTGTATGATAAAATTTGTTTGGCCTTGAAAAACATTGTGTTATCCGGGATTGTATCGTCGCGCGCTTAGACACTACTGTCTCGACTGTCGATTAGTTGTCCTATGATCATTGTCTATGATGAACATTACGCCAATGAGCGTACGAAAATTGTAACTCTGCATAAACACACTGGCAAGCTTAACCATTGAGCAAATCAACGTACTATAGATTGGCCTGGAAACTCTCCTGATGTAAATCTAATTGAGAATCTATGGTCACACTGCAAGAAATGTCTTTGTGAAATGAACATACGATGTGCACTGGGTCATGTTTCATTGGAAAAATACGAAAAAAATATATAATAATGGAATTATTCGTCTTGTTTTAATTAATTTGTATGTGCAAGATAAATTAATTCTATTATTGCATTAATTATATTAATATCAATATTTACGTAATAGTTTAGTAAGGACACGCGATAAATTGAATTACTTTTGACGTTAGGTCAACGTTTCGACCGATTGATACTAGAGCATTTTTAATGCGTACAATCTGTGATGTCTTTTGTTGTTGTTGTTTTAAATAAGTAGTGAAGAGAATAGAAATTGTGGCATGCATGTTAATGAATTGATTGGCTTATTCCGAGCAATATGAGCCACAGAGACAATAACATTCACAGCCAACTCAAGAGATTTTATCATATATACGGAAATGTTCTCTCTTTTCTTTCTTTCGTAAGGTCAGAAAGACACACGGGCTGAATGTAATGAGTTACGTATTCCGAACAACGCATGAAATGAAAATGACTTCACAGAATTATAGACAGAATGCTTTCAATTACAAGTCTAAGTTTAAATGAAGATTTTGGTTTTAACAAGAGGAAGTGAAAATAATATTAACAGACCACCTACAAATATGCACTTATAATGGAATTTATTTCTTAATCTGGCACGCTGTCATCAGTGTGGAGTAACCAGCAAGAATTGAACACAAAAGATTCATGTATACCCTAGTCAACGACAAAGCATGATTATATTCACAGTTAAAAAAAAACTAAAAAAAAAACAGTTTAAATGGATTGTTATTTGTGTTCATATTCATTTCTAAATGTTTCTCTTATTAATCATTAAACAGAAAACAAATTAAAGCTTAAAGAGTATGGCCAGCGCAAGGGTCTCGTGCTCTCCACGCTTTGAATCTATCATACAGCCCGCTATCTATGAGACAGCGCCCACACACCGAATCTATTATACTACTCTCCAAATCTATGGTACGTCTCCCCCTACTCAACTACATCTTAATTTTTGTAAGGTAGTATTTATATAAAATACAAATTTTATTGTAACCTAATTATGGACAATAATGTATCATATGCAAAATAGGTGAACAATTCAACTAGAAATACCAAAAATAAATACAATTTATCTAAATAAAAATCACATATACGTCATAATTGATCGTTCTGTCTTAAATAAATGAACAATGTTTTGCGGCAATTTTTAACATCAACTTGATATTTTTTCTTTGCAAAAAGTTTAAGTATTTAACACATTCAACATTACGAATATAAAATATTGAATTTATATTTTACTTTTTTTTTTCAAGACTTAACATGTACAAAACGATTTCACGGATTTGGACGAAAAAAAAAATGAGAATGACGGTAAAATCCGCAAAAGTTTTTTCACCTTTAATAGTTGTACTTGGTTTAAATTGTGACGTATACAAATATAGGTAGAAAAAAAGTAAATGTTGATAAGATAGCGATAATATTTATTGTACGAATGTACAAATAGAGCACAAGGCCAAAAGGGGTAAAGGGGAAAAGGATGGTCTTGTTCTCTCTTAACATTAAACTTAGCTACCCGCAAACACTGACCCAAACATACAAACAATATTCCTTTCACCAAAAACAACTCATTCTTACTTACCATTCTTACCTCATCCACCATATTGCCTCAGAAACTCTATGAAGTCCTAACTAGTCCACATATATACAATTCATTGTTTGTGGGAGGAGGGGAATAAAATAACAATTAAAAAAATCTAAAAAACTCAATGCGCATATACAAATGTGTACAAAACTATATAGAAGAAACTAAACAAAATTATGTTAGTAATAAGAGAGCGATAGTGACAAAGCAATGTCCGGGTGCCCCATATCAGGCTTGCGTCCCATTTAGGGGTTTCGGGGGTAGTACGCACCGATCCTATGAAAGAGTAACGAGATTGTGAAGAATAAGAGAATATATGACGGAAAAACGAGATCAGTCAGTCAGTTAAGCGCCATACGTAATACACACTTGAGCGATCATGTATCTTTCGATAAATCAGTGACGAGGCAGATTTTTTTCCCCGCAGTAGGTTGTCATTCCTTTCTGCGGTCGACTAGTTGCCAACCACGGCTAACGAACCCAGTCTGTCTTGCTATTTATCCAAAGTTGGTGTGGGAAAGAAATTGATTCATGTCTTTCCCAAAAGTATTTGTGCGCAGGTGAATCTAAAGAACTCGACAAGGATTTGAACTCGACTCTCCGAGTTCCCACTATGAACCAATATCCACTACATCACAACCGAGCAAATATATCGAATAGATATAAATTGATGGATTAACAGAATGAAGATCGAGAGATTATCCATAATGAGGAAAATAGTAATATAATAGTAAGGCGTATTCAGTAATTTAATAATTTTTTTGTAAAATTGCAAAGAGGAAAGTGGATAAATGAGAAGGAGGAAGAGAGTGGAGAAAAGCTGAAAATAAGATACTGAGCGATACTGATGAAATGGATGAATCGTAAAAAACAAAAAAGAAGTAAGAGTAATGTAAATTGGAAAGGAGATAAAAGATAGAATATGAGAATTAGAGGGGAAGAAAATAAATAAAGATGGCTGCTGAAGAAAAACTTGTTGAAGAAAGAAAAAATAGAGAAAGGGATGAAAAAAGAAGAATGCTGAAAAAATGGATAGGTTAAACTAAAAAGAATTATGTAACAAAAAGGAGGAAGGCTGAGAAGATAAAAAGATAAAATGAAAAAAAGAAAAACGAACGAATGAAAAAAGGTTATATACAGAGAAAAAAGAAAGACAGATAATATTGAACAAAAATAGGTTAAAGAAAGAAAGAAATAACGAAAGAAAGAAAGAAAGAAAGAAAGAAAGAAAGAAAGAAAGAAAGAAAGAAAAGAAAAGAAAAAGAAAAGAAAGAAGAAAAGAATTAGAGATAGGGAGATGAAAAAAGAAAGAAATAGAAATATTGAAACAAAAAATAGGCAAAAAAGGAAGAAAAGAATTAGAGAGACAGAGAGTGAGACAGAGAGAGATGAAAAAATGAAAATAACTGAATTCTGATCTAGAAAGAAGTAAAAATAAAAAAGAAAGAAAAACTGAATTTAAGAAAGAAAAAACGGATTTAAGAAAGAAAGAAAGAAAGAAAGAAAGAAAGAAAGAAAGCCCTAATCAAAGAAGGAAAGAAAGAAAACCCTCATCAAAGAAAGAAAGAAAAGATCGGATCTAAGAAAGAAAGAAAGAAGGAAAGAAAGAAAGAAATTAAAAAGTGAGAAATTAAAAAGAAAGAAATGGGAATGTTCAATAAAAACAATTAAAAGAAAACAAGAAAGAAAATTTAGAAAGAATTGTATAGAGAAATACAAAATGAAGAAAGATGAATATTGAACAAAAGAAGCTCAAAACAGAAAAAAAAATTAGGTATATATATATATATATATATATATATATATATATATATATATATATATATATATATATAAAGAGGAGGGACAAAGAAAAAGTTAAAATAAAAAAGAACGAAGTAATTGGATATATAGAGATGAAACAAAGAAAGAAATAAAAGTGCTGAAGAAAGAAGCAGGTAAAAAGAAGGAAGGAAGGAAGGAAGGAAGGAAGGAAGAAAGGAAGGAAGGAAGGAAGGAAGGGAAGAGGAATTTGAGAAACAGAGATTCATAAAAAAAGAAAGAGGAACGTTGAATGAAGGAAACAGGTAAAAGATAGAAGCTGTAGAATCAAAAAGAAAGAAACGGAAAGCGACGTGGTTAAAAGTAAGAAATAAAGGCGAGGCTAAAATCAATAAACATAAAACAATAAACATAAATAATGTAAATGATATGAAAAAAAAACATAGAAAATATAAACTGAAGAAAATTAGGATATCGAGATGATTTCCAAAAAGACATAACTGATGAAAGAAAGAAAAAAGGAAACTTCATCTTACTTGAGCAGCGTCTGTAACCTGTCGACGTCATCCTTGGTTTAAATAAAGTAAAATCTTTGTTTCAAGGCCATGACCATAAAATGCAATCTGAAAGGCTTGCAATGTACAAAAGACGAATTATCTTAGTTGAACCCCAGATGGCCGACTGTGTGCGGCGATGTCAGAGACGCCGACAAACTGAGAGAAAGCAGACGACTTTTCGCAACCACCCGACGTTCAATCGCATAAGCGTATTACTAAAAATTTAAAACACAAAATTGTTTCTAACTAAAAGTGGTTGAGTCAATGACTCGAAGGTTTAGATAACATAATTTTATATATATATATATATATATATATATATATATATATATATATATATATATATATATATATATGTGTGTGTGTGTGTGTGTGTGTGGGTGGGTGGGTGTGTGATTAAGAATTCTGGCTTTACTCTTTATGCCAATTTTGAGAACAGTGACTTTGCAAACAGCAAGCAAAAAACTACTACGTACGTGCAAGTTATACTGAACACAGACACAAGACAGAAAAAACGGACATCTAAGACGTGGAAAGACCTGTAGCACCGTGGTCAGCGAGTTCACTTTCATGACCATTACTTCATGTAGTGAGTTCGATTTTTCTTGGTGCTCCATGCTTTTGGTTTTATGAATTCGTAAACCGATCGAAAGATGCATCCCAAAAGCTAAGCAAAGTATTAAGAAACAGTGAAAATTCATTAGAAACATAGAACAGAGTGTTGAAATGTTATGAAATATCAGTCGTCCTAAATGGCAGTGAATGCTGGAAAATTTCCTCACAGATGAAGGGATATGATGAAACAGAAATGGGGTTTTCTCGAAGGATACTGAGAATACCTTTGACTGAACATGTGAGTAACGAAGCGATTTTAAGTAAACTGGAAACAAAAAGAACGCTTATACTTACAATCAGAAAGAGACTTTTAAATTTTCTCGTCCATATAAATGAAAAGAGGTGTTACAAAATTTAACTCACAGGACATATTGAAGGCGAGAGTCAGATTAAAGTGTCGATTGACCTACATTACGAGCTTGTGTAAATGTATGACAGTACAGGAACAGGTAGAAACGTGAAAAGAATAAATTTACTGTGATCTACAAAGATAGAAAGCTGTGGAGAGACATGATCGGCCAAGTGCTGAAAGCACATAGTAGAATAACTCATAAAAGGATGTTTTGTTTTGGTAAATCAAAACTATTTAGAAACGAATTCCTCTTTTTTTTTGGTTAATTTCTAATAATATTATTGCTTCCACGTGCTATGCTTTAATGGATGTCAGTTGTCAGTTATCTCCTGTTAATTCCCCACTCCAAGTTCTCTACTGCCTTAACCAGGTATTGAACTCACACTCTTTGGGTTCTGTCAAAGAATGTAAGTTCAATACCCGGTTAAGGCAGTGGAGAACTTTCAAAGGGGAATTAACGGGAGATAACTGACATCCATTAAACATGGTACGTGGAAGTAGAACAGTCTCCCCCAGTGAGCGAAATAAAAGGTTCAGTTCGACATTTCAACCTCCTGAATGAGGCCGGAGCGTACAACGGCCGAAACGTTGTGATAAATATGGCGACAAAGATGAGGACAATAGTCCGAATAATGTAAATATTGTACATTCACATGGATCAGATAAAAATAACATAATAGCTAACTTATGACGTTCACAGTTGTCATTATTTGCAGAAATTAACTGTCATTTTTAGAGACTATGGGGGTAACCTCGGTGTTGAAGCTGAAATTGGTGGCCGTTAAAATTTTGACCGTATCTGTTCTATTTCGGTCTGCAGAAATGCTCTCGGGAAAGGCAAGAATATGTTACTTCTCCCATAGATATGCGTTAAATAACATGCCTAGAAGGACTGTTCTGAATTAAAATATAAAAAGAACAAAAAAAAACATTGATAACTAAACGAAAGGTCAGTTTACTCTGTTTACTAAGGAGTCATGCGATTTTGCAGATAGTAACGGAAATAAATCTGTGGAACTTTATCCTCGTTTCGGCTCTGAATGGTCAGAATATGCTGAAATAGAATATCAACAGAGATCAGCGTCTGTATTCTATTAAGGTCGAAATGTTTGAATAATATAATTTTTAATAAAGCAGAAAAATTCAGAACGTAAAATTGTATAACTAAAAAAAAATCTTCGATTATGAAAAATATGAATGAATGAAATATTATTTAAAATTTTCGAAAATGAATTCAAAACGGAATAGAAAAAAACAACTAAGAATTCACTGAAAAAAGAATTTAGCTGAAACAAGAAAAGAAAAGAAACAGTATTTACGCAAGATTAGCTCCATTGAAATATTTATCGTGGGTCAGACTCATTTGTTCTGGCTTGTTATCCTGCTTGGATATTGCCCTCTCATATCAGACTGACCACCTGCTACACGAAGGATTATTTACATTCATTTTCATTGTTCAGTCAGCAATATCGCTTCTTGTTTCGGGTTTGACACGAAGGGCATCGTTGTCTTTTTACGATAACTAATAAAAAACACGAGGAGGAAAAAAAATGTTAAAAATTCTTATATGAAGTTATTTTGATTCTTCTTTTGAGCTTTCTTTTGAGCTTCTTCCTTTTCTTCATATTTTTTTCTCCTACTTTTTCTCCTACCTTTTCTTATTCTCATTCAGTTTCTTTTTATTTTTTCTTCTTGTACTTCTAGTGTCACGCCATCTTTATATTTAATCACATTTTCTTTTTTATTTATTCTCATTCATTTTTTCTTTCTATTATTTACCACTTCCTCTCTTTTTTTTCTTCTTTTGCTTCTAGTATCGCTTCCTCTTCTTCATAATTGTTCTCTTCGACACTCCTTCTCCTTCTCTAAATTTTTCTTCTTTTTTCTTCCACGGTCTTCTTCTTCTCCTCGTACTTCTAGTACCACATCATTTTCTTTGTTCTCTTCCTTGTTCTCTTTCTCACTTAAACTCATTTTTCTTTCTTTCTTTTTTTTTTTTCCTCTTTCGCCTTCATTTTTCTTCTTTAGCTCCTATTAACACATCCTTTCTTCATCTTTTTCTCTTCAGCACTCATTCTCATTCTCTTTCTTTTTTTTTTTTTTTCATCATTTTTCTTTTTCTTCTCTTTGGGTTTCTCTTACCACTTCTTCTTCTTCCTATTCTCGTTCATTTTTCTTTCATTTTCTTTTTCTACTCCTTATGCTTCTAGTACAACTTCATACTTGTTCTCGTTCTGCTGTTTCTTTAATATTATTATTCTCCCCTTCCTACTTCTTCTCTTCACCCTCATTTTCAATCCATCCTTTCTGTTTTCACGAACGATTTTATATTATCTCTATATTTTTATATGCTATTTTATTTTTTAAAGAATCCTTTTTGAAATCAACTTTTCTTAGAAGATAAGAAACATTATTATCATAATGTTTCTTATCTTTTTCTTATCTTCTTCTAAGAAGTGAAATTAAATGCTGCATAAATTCTCGATACTTAGGAGTAATATCTAGTTTTTGTTTTCTTCAGTTTCAATTAAATCACGTGTGCTTCATCTCCTGTCATTTATTTTCTTCCTTTTCATTTGCATTCTCCTCCATTATTTACTGATATAATGGAATACGCGTACACCTGTGTTCCCCCTCACTGGAATGAATCGATTACTGCTAACGTATTCTACTTGGTTATAGTAGCCAAAACCACTTAGCTACTTCGTTCAAATATATCCCTTTTACAGTATTCCGCTATTGTCCTCATCTTTGTCGCCATATTTATTACAACGTTTCGGCTGTTGTACGCCCCGACCTTCTTCAGGTAGTTGGAATGTCGAACTGAACCCTTTATTTCGCTCACTGGGGTAGACTGTTCTAGTTCCACATGCCATATCTAATTGATGTCAGTTATCAGTTATCCCCTGTTAATTTAATTCTCCTCTCCAAGTTCTCCACCACCTTAACCAGGTATTGAACTCATACTCTTTGGGCCCTGTCATGGATCTAACACCTTTATCCACTGTGTCCCGGGGGATATTTGTGTATGAACTTCTGGGTGTTATAAACCCAATGTCTTCAGCAACATTTTTTCAGTGCTCATATTGCTGTTATCAATATGGCGACAAAGATGAGGACAATAGTCCGAATAGAGTAAATAGTGTACATAATGCCTCATCTCAGAAATAAAGACAGATTCTGCTCTATTTTTAAGAAATTAGGATTTTTCTTAACAAACTCCCATTTAATTGAACTGAAAAGCTTAACCAGGATCATGACAAGCTCTTGGAAGAAAAATAAACCCATGATTCTTTTGGCGACAACATCCGGTCCATTTCCCCTCCTCTCCTCTCTTGTCTGACTCCTGGAGGCACCGCAATATCAAGCCAACCCGAGGAAAAGGTGGAGCAAGCCCCTAACTCTTCGCCATGTTTCAAAATTCAGTTTAATATCAAAGTCCCACTTCGAGAGCATATCAGATATTAAACGGATATGAACAGATACTACACTTCCGCCAATTTTCACGCTGTCGTAAGCAAACATTACCAAAATAAATTTGACATGAGTTTAAAAACAAGATTTTCTGGGAATCTTAATGGAAGGATACTCAGACTAATATTCTGATCCTTGTATGCTTATGACTATTTTCAGATAATATAATCTTTAGCTTCCCCATCTGTATAATCTATCTTGTAGGAGAGTGCTTCTATTAATGGTGTGAGATGTGTCTATTATTGATGAGAAATATCCAAAAAGTGTCTTTTCTTTTTCAAAGTAGACTAGATAATCCAATGAATACCGAACGAATCAATCCTCTTTCTGATCATCTATTTTTCCAGTTTCGAAACTTGATTTTTTGGTTAGGCTCAAGTGCATCAGTTATTGTAAGCACGATTCGTATCCTTGTTTTTCACTGTTACTTTACTTCTCGAACGAAGTCCTAATTATTTTCTATTTTTCATTTTTTTTTTATTTTGGGGGTACTGTGTTGTGTTGGCATAGTTAAACCTTAGATGTGGAAGATT